TCGGTGTCTTTGAGGGTTTTATTTTATTTCTCATTCTCCTCCTCTGACTTTATTAGTAATAAATTCACTTGGTAACTTAAGTGGAGCCTGTTTTGTCCATCAAGCATTTCCTCACTGCTTCTTTTCTCAACTTATGAACCATTTTTGCTGATTTTTTTTTTCCCTTCGCTCTTCTCTGCCCAGTGGTGGTGGGCGAGAGCAACTGAGCAGGTGTTGTGGGTGCCTGGCTTTTGACCAGCGTTCTAAACCACGATAGGTCAGAATATTACTCTCCTATTTCAGCTGTCTTTCCAAGGTACAACCTTTCTTAAACACAGGTCTCCAGCCCCTCAGGGAGACAACCACATCTCTCTGACACATTCATTTTCTCTGCTGAGTGTCCTTCTCTGSTCTGCTGGTATTTCTGAATCAAATGTATAAGTTTGTTAGGGAGGTTGGACCAAATGAGCCTCTGTGGTGGCTTCCAACCTTACCCAACCACAGCTCTGTGATTCTGTCATCACGATTTTGTTGAAGATACTGTTGAGGTCTAAAATGAAAAATGCTCTTTTGACATCTCCTAAAAAACAGTTAAGACAATATAAGCAGTATGTGTCATGAAAGACAGTTTTTTATTGAAGCAGTGTAATGGATGAAACTTTTTAGAACATAGTAGCTGATGCCAATAAGTCTATCAACTCTTTCACTCAACATGACTGCTCAGCATCTAAAGAGAATATAAATGAAAAAAAAATCTATTTTTTTTCCTTTTCCTTGGTCACAGATTTTGAGACCATTAAGCAGAATACCAAAGTGATCCTGAAAAATATAGATGGTCTGCTGATCTTTTTTGCATCCWTTGTAGCCATGAATTGCAAGAATTAAATCACTAGTGCTTCTTAATATGATTATTCTATTTTTGTTCTTTCCCTGCAGTCATCTGCCCAGACATTTTGGCTTAAGTACTTAGTAACAAGTATAAAAAACTTTAGTTTTACAGATTTCTAATTTGTAGTCTTTAATCTAATTTTACAAATTAGCTAATGTGATAAAAAAGGGCTATTTTCACACCAACTACATAACTTGTAAGAGACAATCTTTGGTCATTTCCAAGACAGCAYGGCTGGTTGTATTTCATACATGATCTAGGTAATGCAGGTCTTCCTGAGTCATATGAAATACAAGAACTTTATTGGAATTGCGATACAAACACCTTTACTTCCTCTCTTCAAGAACAGGTCTTAAAAAGCTACTCAAAGAACGGAAGGGCTAATGAATATGTCAGGGCTGTAAACATACCCAGCTGCATAAACAGTAGCTGCCCTTTGATTTCTTTGCACACCACCCCCGGCATGGGTGTGCCATCAGACACACCCAGGTTTAGCTACCTTACTGATCCATTTGGAAAGCAGGTTAAGGAGTAGGCAACATTTAGAGTTGTCTTGCAAGTGCTGTGACAAAACTCATGCACTGACACCTGTGGGCTCCAGTGAGCTAGGCTGACATGAAGCTTGCCTGCCAAATAGGTGTGCAAATATCCAAGGAGTAATGTAYTCTCTGGCAGAGGTCTGCAATTACTAATGTGGCATTTTTGATATGCATCTGTAAAGGGATTAGAAAAAAYGCTGAGGGGAAATACATTTTCCAAGATCCATGTGTGATGTAGCTGGGCTGAGGACACTGGGCACTCAAACTGGAAGACAAACAAAACTTACCAAGTGATCCCAGAATGACAAGAATTGTTAAAATCCAGACCAGTACTCTTGAAATGTACCTTATTATAACCATCAAAATCATGGACAACACTGCAAAAGAAGACAAATACAATAAGCAGACTAATTACATCAAGTAGAAATAGCCTTCTTAATTTTCCCACTGCACTAAGATAACAAATTCCAAAAGAATTTGTACAGACAGATTTTATTTCCAAGGCTTACAAACTCATTGAACAGACAATAAAGGAAATTAGGCCCCTCTACAAGTTCTGATTTGATAATGTTGATTAAAACAAAGAGAGCATAAATACATTTACACAATAGATAAAATACAAGACATAATGTGTGCATACAGACAGGGATGTACTTAGACAATGACCAAACATACAGCAAGACACAACAGTACTTTGGGTCTGGTAACATGAGCACACCTTCTGGGGACCACAGCAGAACCTGCACTTAAATACACGTTAAACAAGTGCAGTCAATATGATACCTGTGTATTCCAAAATGTCATGCCAGTCATAAGTAAAAAACTATACAGCCAACTCAGGTTAAGTGAGTGGTGYGTGCAAGTGCATCCTCGTATTTTAACATACATGTTTGTGTTCAGCAGTTACATGAAAACAACTGGAATCTGGCTTTCTGAATCATAGTCTAACCAACAGTTTTAAAAGAAATAACTTCTATCTAACTATGACATTACAGAAGCTATTTTTTAARTTAACTGTATGTAAATTCTGCACTAGCTTCTGACTCTAATTGAACAGTAGCACTGTGAATCAGCCACTACCTTTCAGATTCTAAACAGTTTTCTACCATTATAACCAAATACTGAAGGTGTCAAGATTTAAAAATAAACAGCTTTCCAGATATAGTTGAAAACGTACACAGTGGTCTTTTGTGTCTGCGTGTAAGGGGGGGTTAATTGTATCTAGCATCACCTTTTCTTTTTCTTTTTTTTCCCTTCCTCCCCCACTTTCTTTTAACCACAAAAGCAAACTGAAAACAAAGGACCCCGTATTTGATACAGCTTTGTAGTGTTTCTTTCTAAATGATATACTGCTCATATGCATGGTATCTTGATCCTCCCGTTTCAGGATTTCAGATTTTATACTTTGTATGAACTAAACAGACCCATTAGGAAAGCAATTTATGTGGGTGGGCAACATTCAACCTTAAACAAGACAACTTTGTTAACACCTCTTCAGCCTTGTATAAAGTATCACTCTAGGCTGGAGGCATCTCTCAGCTATAGAAACAATTCAGCACCTCTGTACTGTTGGGAATTTCCAACTCTTCAGACAAGGCTGAAATTTTCAAAGATCTGAAGCTTTTAATTTTGGAGGAAGGGGCAGAAGGTAACACAYAATACAACAAATGGGCATCTAATTTTCTTGTTTTCACTCTGAGGGTTCTCATATCTTTGTACAAGTACGCTAAATGAAACAAACTAAATCCCCTCCAGTGCCATTGTGCATTTCTCACCCTGTCCTTYCTATTTGGAAAGGGTTGATTTGTACTGGGGGTGGTAGAAAATGATTATTACAAATGGGAAAAGAGAATGTTATAATAAAAATTAGGAAAAAGAGAATGCTCTCTTTAACTATATCAAAACTAACATAGGCTAACTAGCCACGCATCCTCTATCTCACAATCAGTGGAAGAGGAATAAAAACAGGAATGCATATGTATATTACTTCTGAATAAGTTACTTAGTTCTCAAATAAATTTTTTAGAAAGCATTCAGAATAATTTTCTAAGGGATTGTTGCTATTATACATGATTTTTACTCATATTGTGGTTAGAGGGTGTTAACAATCTCCTAATGCAGTACACTAAGAAATAGCTAGTAATGAGAAAAACAATTACCTAGTGATAACAAGCAAAGTCCCATTATAATCTCTTTGCTGGTCATAACTCCACTAATCAGCCTGTGTAAGACACTACTGTCACTGACAAAGGTGATCAGGGCCTCTGCAAACTTGGCATAGCAGGAAATGTTCACAGGAGCACAGCGATGGAAGAATGGAATAGGTGCACTGGTGACACAAGAAAAAAAAAATCAGAAAAAAAAATTACTCCTACTTAATATAAATGCCACATCAACACACAAATGAAAGGTGAATAGATGCAATCATTCTACCTTTATAACATCACAACCAGAAACCATGTGTTGAATGCACAAGTGCTGCTGAAATGAGGATGATCATAATGGAAAGTGATGCAGTTCTTACAAATAACCCTGGTGAGGCTGCAGTGTACATTCCAATAGGAAATTATTACCCTCCCACCCTTAAATGACATGGCTCAGAAAGTATATATTCCTATTTCCACTTAAATGTCTTTTTTTCAAGTGTCAGGTGGTGAACCAGCAGCTGAAACAATGCCTTTCACTCATGTTAGAATGGAATACTGGCCCCTATTTACAGCAAAAAAAAATTGCAGAATAACCATACTCTTCGTGAGAGTAYACATTTTGAGCTGAAGGACATCAGCATTCACAACTGCTGCCAAGCAAAACTAATGTATTTATTTCCAGGTTTTCCCCATACGAAGCTTGTTCTTATATTGAATAATACAATCAGTGTTTATTTTCGTTAACTTTGTTGAAATCACACAAAACATGCCAGGATGCCTCTCTTGCTTTAAACTGTTTTGGAAGCACCCTCATAAAAAACTATTGATACTGTGCACTAAACTGCAGAGTCCTCAGAAAAACCTGCTATCAAGTCCACCAGAGAAAGATATAAGAGAGCAAAAACTTTCCTTTAAATGTGGGTAATTTTGTTTTCTAAATGTCTCCCATTTAGTAGCTGTCTGTCTTGCTCATAAACTACATCAGATATCAAAGTGGCCTATCATGTAATTTGATCAATTCCCAATTACATTTCAGACATGAATTACATGTTCCTTCCTGTAATTGGATCCAATGAAAAAAGTCTTTTGAATTGTTTCACTCTGCCCAGTCTTCCTTACTTGAAAGATTTCAGTGGACTGTAACAGCAATGAACATAATCTTCAGCAGTTTCCCCATTTCAGCAATGATCTATAAATCTACAATTTTTTGTCCTCAATAAGGATTTTTTAAGACCATGTCTTTCCAAAATTCTAGCRATCATTTTAAACACATAGTGAATAAACCAGCTGCCTTAGCCATATCCTTCTTATCCATTGTTTTTCTGGGGGAAAAGAATGACATGCTGAAAACCATTAATATGTAATTATTCTGTAAAGAAATTGGGAGAAATTATGATCACCTGCCATACTAGATCCTAGGTCTTTGTTTTGAGTCATTGATGATTGCAAATTTTATGGTTCTAAGCTTACAGTGCTAAGTAGGTAAATGCATTTGGAGATGCTCATATTGATGGTCTAATTCTGGGTAGTAATGAATACAGCAGTTAAGCACAGCAAAGTAATTGTGCATTAGTCACAGTTCTTAAAAAAYAAATTAAACCCATAATGATCACTGCCCTACTTAAAAGGCGGCCCATGTACCCTCTTAGCCTCTTACAACATAACCTATTTTGGAATACTGCTGCTCATTATATGCTGTATTACTGGAAAAGCCTGAAATTTGAGAGGTTTATTTAATTGTTAACTGCTACAACTTTGCAGAAAGCCTAGAGCATTTATGAGTTGTCACTACCAGTAACAAAGCCCACATTTTGACATGGGAGTAGGAAAAAGAATATCATTCCTGCCTTCAAATACAAAAATATCCACTTTGAGAAGGGAACTAATGGGATTAAACTACTCTTCCAAAATATATCTCAACAGAGGGAAAGATCCAATTTGCATCAGAGTTTATATTACTCATCTAATATACCTTAACCAAAAGCAATTTCCTTACCTATTTTAAGTTACCTATTTTAATGTGCAGTAATTAATAGCTAAATCTGTTTTAATTAATGTTAAAATAATAGGTTAGTGGTTCCTACAAACTTTCTGGAGTAAATGGGACTCCTGAGAATCCACTTTTGAGATCTGCTTCTGCTTCAATGTCTCTGACTGAATGAGTAGGTGATGTAAAGTGTCTTAATAAAAAATACAATAATAAATCTATTCTCCATGAACTGTGCTATTTTGTATGGCCCCTTGATTATATCTTGGTATATTACCTCCTGAAAAAGACTTAAAAATTTCTAAAAATAGCAACATGATGCTTCATCTCAAATAAGAACAAATAAAATTCAAGCCAGCTGATAATGGTCTCAGAAGCTGTAGTTTTAAAGCAACATTCAAATTATTTAGAAGATTCATCTGATTACTCAAGTATTCGATTGCAAAGAGTTTTTTTCTCTCCCTTCTACCCCTGGGCAAATACAGCAATCTATGTGAGGGGAGGGGGTGTCTGGTTGGAAGACACTGCTAACTGCTCTTTATAACTTCTACAGGGCAGTCCCTTGGCACAGCTCAACACAGCTGGTTTATAGATAAATGCCAGGKGGACTGGACAGGTTTTCCTCCAGGATCCTCTAAACAGTGAAGTCATGTCTACTGTGGCTGATACAGGCTGGATATGGATTGCTGACTGCACTGACAGCCTGTACTACTCTGTCAAAATTGGACATAAGACCTTGAAGATGGATGGTAAAAATCCAGTGACAACGACAGCTGAAGGCTGTGAAGAAGCCTGGTCATCATACAGAARACATCAAGGGACAGTCTTCACACCATATGTTACTTCCATCCAATGGAACTAATGGCAATCAGAGGGTTCACAACCTTTGACAGATTGCACTGCTTTCAGCTGGGGTAAAAACAATTTTCTTCACAGTGACTGGTTCAGGGCTGAGTTTTGGATTGGTGCTGAACACAGGGTTGATAGTATAGAGACATTTTTRTTATTGCTGAGAAGGGCTTACACAGGGACAAGGCCTCTTCTGCTTTTTTGCACTGCCATGATGGCGAGGAAGTTGCGGGGTGCATGGGAGGTTGGGAAGAGACACGAGACAAGTGACCCCAGCTGACTAAAAGGATATTCCAGACCACATGACACCATGCTCAGGATMTAAAGTGGAGGGGATGGGGAGAAGAGGAAGGAAGGAACGTTTGAAATGATGGTGTTTGTCTTCCCAAATAATTGTTGCATGTGATGGGGCCCTGSTCTCCTGGGGATGGTTGAACACCTGCATGCCCACAGGAGTGATGAATTAATTCCTTATTTTGCTTTGCTTGTACGTGCATCTTTTCCTTCCCCTATTAAACCATCTTTATATCAAACCACAAGCTTTCTACCTTTGACCCTTCCAGTTCTGTCCTTGATCCTGCTAGTGGTGGAAGGAGAGAGTGGCTGCAGGGGGCTGGATTGCTGGACGGGGTTAGACTATGACACAGATCAAATCTGAATGTTAGGTAAGTTCTTCCTGAATGCCTCAGTCTACAAGATGTTGGGTTTTCATCTGGTTGTCTGAAYAGGATTCCATTTCTCCTTTGAATTACACTTTCTCAAATAATATAACTATAAAATCTGAAAAGCAGTGGTTTACAGATATAATGTTGGCCTTTTTTGCCTTAGGGCATTAAGTTCAGACTTTCCAATCTCAAAAATACTCAAACGTATTTTACATTATTAATACCATATAAGAAAGAGGAAGTACTCCATCCTCAATAGCCTTTTAAAAATAACTCCAGTGGTAGTTTTTATGAGGATTTACATAGCATCATTAGAGCTCTGACACATTGTTCTATTCTTCTATCTTCTTATTAAGCTACGTTCATTGAGACTGAATGACATAGGAACACACAATGGAAAGTCAATATAATTCTGGCAAAAGTTATGGCTAACAAGCCTTTTTAGTATGCAATCTGGAACTGAAGTTTTAATTTGTTTTTGTATTACTGCTATAACAGCTGGCTAGCTGCATGAAATATTAATCTATATGGGGAAAAGTTAAAATTCCAGCTACCACTAATTGTCACTACAATATTTAAAAAATATTMATTGGAGAGGCTAGTATGTAAACAAGAAAGACTTAAAATTAAAATTTGTAGAACTGACACAAATATAACACTTACTAAAAACATAACAGAGAAAACTATGCATAAGAAAAGACACTGCAGTTACAATCCACTACTGAGTACATTTGAGAAGCTTTTTGAGAAAATTTTGAGAAAAGACAASATGGTTCTTCTTGAGTTAGTGGAATTACTGACTTAGAAGGCTGTGCACAACAGCTAACAGATCATTTCTTTTCTCAGCAATACTCATCTCCACAGATCCAGCCAGCAGTTACAAGAGTTTATGAAGCTACAAACTTCATAATCCAACTCCACAAACAGTAGTCTAATATAATATTTAAAACAATAAACCTSAACATTATCTGTTAATAAAATACAGCCTCTTTTGGGTACTTGACTATATTTATATTAGTCACCTGGGGACTGAAAGAGTGAAAAATGAAGCAATTTGCATCTATCTGACTGGCTGACATAAGGTATAGGAAGAACGCTGCAGAGAGCTCTATGTCCCTATACAACTTTTCCTCCCAAAGATTAAAAATGTCCCATGATTGTCCCAGATCTGCATTGCTGACAGGCAGCTGGCTATAGATAGGGTGAAAGGCAGTAAAACAGCTGATACTCAGAGCAGTGTCAGTCACAAGATAGAACAGAATTTGAAGGTATCAGCTCAATAGTCTCAGTAACACATACATGAACAAGTTGAGTTTTACTTTGAGAGTTATTTTCACTACTTTTTTAAAAAAAAGGCATTTTATAAATATATACAATAATACACTAAAACATCTACCTGGTAAGACTGAACATGTGTTAGCATTTTCTAAAGAACTGTCATGATCAAAACAAATCTCTGCTCCCTCCACCCAAATCAGACAACTTGTTAATATTACCTCTCTGGAACAGGATATTTAGGACATAACTTGGCAGCCCTTGGGTCTGTAGTATATTCTGATGGCTGTAGTTCATAGCTACACAGAGAGGATCCTGTTGAAAAGGAAAAAAAATATTGGCGTGGAAAACAAATAAAAAACAAACATTCATATTCTTAGCAAAGAGTATTAAAACTCATACAGGTGCTGATTCTGGACCTCCTCATGTTATTACCACTAAGCTTTGTTGCCGTTCCTTCTGATTTGTAGTGGTGAATGAAGTCCAAGACAGTTGTCAACGGAATACAATGACACTCTAGCTTTGGGTTTTGCAAAGTTTGGGTATTTAAGTGGAAAAGACTAACCCACAATGCAGTAAAAGAGGACACAACACATTGTGAAGTCCCCCACCCCTGCTACTCCACCACGTATTTCTTTATAATTGTTAATGCATGAATATCGCATAACAACATTCATGATAGAAAGAAAGTATTCCTGGGTTTACAGGGCTTTTTTGTGTATGTATTCAAAATACAACTGGTCTATAGATTTCAGGGAGAGGAACAAAGAACACAAACTTATAAAGTTAGAAGTAAGACTGAAACATAACACAAGCTCTCTATTACATATCCAAAGCTTCTAAAAAGCTGAACCCTCTCCATAAACAAACTGGCACAGAACAATAAAGATCAAGTTGCTTATAACAAAATTCTAACATAAATTAAGTTTTCCTTTGTATCTGACACTTGCCTAATGGAAGTGCCTTACCTAGGAGAAATTTCTTCCAATTTATCTGTAATAAAGACACTGAACATCTGACCCAAAGCTTTTAGGAAATCAGCAACTTCCAAATCAGATTGGAGCCCTCGTATGTCAGAAATTGCAGAGTAAGAAAGCCTCCAATGATAAAAGCACCCTAACTAAAGTGCAATTTCCTTCCAAGCTTGTTTCTTAATAGATAGCTCACTTCCAAGCAAGGGCTCTCAATACATAATTTTTAGTGTCCATTTTCCCTATGCAATACACTAAGGACTCATCTTAATCTTGATCATCAATATACCTATTCAATTCTTTCCATTACTGAAGTTTCCTCTTCAGGAATACTTTGTAGAAAAGAGTTCTGCAAACTGGATTTGGATAATACATATACACTATTACCCAAAATAAACCAAGAGTTTTCACAAACAACTTTATCTTGGCCTGCATTACAGCAAACAGAACTATTATTTGCAGAAATTCTATCTATCATTGCTGGATTTCAACCTCTATGAAGAGACCTCTTCTATTTACTTAAAGAGCAAAGAGCCTATTTAGCTGCCTCAGCTGCTCTCTTTCTAATGCAGCCTCTGGAACACTACTTAAGTACTACTTCTACAAAGCAGTTTTGGAAGCTGGTCCAAACCACCAAATGCACTATTGAAGAAAGTTAAATTTCCTACAAAGAGATGTTACCAGGTGAATCATCTGAAATACATTTTCAATTATACTGTTAATATAAATCCTCATGCCTCTGCTTGTTTAAGTGGAAAACATGGCATCAGACAAAACAACATTTCTTAGATCTTAGTTGGAAGTGTAGTATCTGAAATATTTCATCCTTTTTGGACAAAAGTCTCTATACTGCTGAAAAAAAATTCAAACTGTTCTTGTAGGTATGAAAACTTCTGAATCACGGGTATTTACTAGTTACTCCATCTGACAGAGAGTCAGCAGTAGAGAGTATTACAATATTATCTTAAAAACAGAAAGAAATAGAAGTTTGCAGATATTTACATTTATTTTGCTTTGAATATAGGGCAACAGCCAGCTGAACATGAGCCAGCTGTGTCCAGATTGACAAGAAGACCAAAGGCATTCTGGCCTGTTTCAGAAATAGTGTGGCCAGCAGGACCAGGGCAAGGATTGTCCCCCTGTACTTGGCACTGGTGAGGCCACACCTCAAATCCTGTGTCCAGTTCTGGATCCCTCACTGCAAGAAAGACATTGAGGTCCTGGAATGTGTCCAGAGAAGGGCAAAGGAACTGGTCTGGAGCACAAGCCTTATGAGGAGCAACTGAGGGAGCTGGGATTGTTTAAGCCTGGAGAAAAGGAGGATCAGGGGGTGACCTTATCACTCTCTACAACTGCCTGAAAGGAGGGTGTAGTGAGGCAAGGGTCAGCCTCTTCTCCCAGGGCAAGAGGGGATGGCATCAAGCTGTGTCTGGCAGTTCAGACTGGATATTAAGATTAATTTCTTCACCAGAAGGGTTGTCAAGCATTGGAACAGGCTGCCCAGGGAAACAGTTGAGMCACCATCCCTGGAGGTACTTAAAGATGTAGATATGGTAGGTATTTAGATGTGGAGCTTAGGTAAATGAGTTGGTGGTGGACTTACTGATCTTAAGGGCGTTTTCCAGCCTAAATGACTGTCAGTTTCTATTCTGTGAATCTCTGGTGGGAACAGCAAGTTCTGTAGGAAGAAGTGGGATGTGTTTTATGTGGGAAAGTGTATATAGATTCATGATACACAATATTCCAGGCCAGCTTGGCCATTTTGCCAAGTGATCAGTGTGAACTACCAGTTTAAGCTTCTTATGCAAGGTCCCCACATCTAAACAGCCTAAGGGTGGCCTGTGGATAACCATGCTCCCTTTTGACTTCTAGCAGTTCAGGCAGGAGAGAAAAAGGGTAGAATTTGCTATGGAGAAGAAAGGAAACTGTACCAATGTGCATCTGAAGACCTGTTTGAATCACAAATTTCAAGAACGAAGCAAAATCAAACGTCAGAGTCTGATCTGTATAGAGGCCACAAGCCTTTCAAGTGCAGGGTAACCCAATATACCCCTGGATGTGGAGGGAACTGGAGACAACTTGACAGGTCTCTCTGGAAACCAGTAGCATATTCCCTCCTGACATGCCCCAGAGCAATGGACAACTCGGGCTGCCATTACCATCTCTTACCTGGGAAATGCTCTTGAGGCTACTCTGGATCTTTTCCCTTCAGCTACCTACCTCAGAGTGCAAGCTTCTTTAGAGTCACAGACAAATATTCTCATGGAGCTTGTCAAACACAGGATATTAACAACCTTGTATTTAAAGAAACTACTAATCCCACAGCTGAAATAGTGTCCATGAGATTATTTGTCCTTTTGTCCCACATAATTAGGCAGACACTCTAATTATTCTCATAAATATTTCTTAATTCATATTTTGAAAACCTTCTAACTTCTCTAATACTGCGTAGGAGAGATTTAAAACTCAAATGTGTGTTTGAATAACATCACTTTACATTAAACTTAAAACTGATTATTTCAAAAAAGAGCCCGTGTGCATCAATAAATGGAAGTTTTCATTTTCTAAGGTGAGAGAGAGAAGAATGAACTGCATTGTCAAACCTTCCACTCCACAACAGCTGCACTGGATTAGTAGAGACTGTCTAGCCCAACCAATCCTTTTGCTGCTTTTCAAGTTTGTAAAGGCTGAAAAAGTTTAAGGAAACATTTGAGTCATCTACCTTACTGAGATAATTAGTTTAGCAAAGATGCTATGTTTATTTTTAAATTATTATCACTCATAAATGTTTTAAAACCAGTATGAGCTGAATATATAGAACAAAYTAAAAGAACATTAAAGTAATACATCCTTTGCTTCCTACAACACTGCACATACTTCTTCTGGAGAAACTGTTAGGCAAACGACATCAAACTGTACTACAGGGATCGAATTTCAGATCCAGCATGTTGTAACCTTAAAGAAAAATACTTCTAAACTATGCTGAGCATCAGGTTTTGGTCTACTGGTGAGTGTACAGTAGTGTGTCCGACCAGTGTGTGGACATGTTGGTCCCACAATTCTGTATTTGGTGGTTTCACACACAAAATGATGTTCACGGAGACATAGCACAGCTTCTGTTCTATGATTTCTTTCCAGTGAATAGAATTGCTCCAGCAGTTAGAATATACTGGAGCCATAACAGGAGCACAGTATCTCAAACGAGAAACTTCCAACTTTAAACTAGCTGTAGGAACTTCTTTCTGAAGCCCTCTTTCTGCTTTGCCCAGGCTTGGATTACTAAGGAGCTGAATAGCCATTATCTCTGGCATTCACAGAAAACAGCTGTATTTAGCACAAATTATTACAAAGATGCTGTAGAAAGCCAGGACTTTTATTTCAAAGATTTTTTCTAACTGAGAAGGCAAATTATTGAAGGTCTTGCATGCTCAGAAGATACAGCGCACAGAAGACATAATGCTCTGCTTTCCACAGCACTACAGTAAATAGGAAGGTCCAAACTAACCCAAAGTGGATAGACAAAAATACTTTTAGAGACCAGAGTTTCAGTGCAGCTTTTCTTCCTGTATTCGTTGTGTTATAAACCAACAAACCAACCACTAAAGCAGCATTGCTATCAATGTCTAGAGCTTGAGAAATGGTAAGAGTCCCTAAGTAATCCAATAAGAGGAGCAGTCCACAGAGGACATCACTGACATTTATATTCCCTGACTTACAGTGGGAAGCATACCAGGGGTTTTGGGATCCATTCTTGGAGCTCAGCAGTGTCCAGCAATCTACCAACACTTATTAACAAGGTCTAAAACAAGGACTTTCAGATCTAGAAACATGGACTCATACTCAGTCAAAGATTTGGGCAGAGGAATATAGAACTATGCAGTATTGAGATAGCTTCAATACCAGGAGTAGCACAGTCACCTTAGGAGTTTAGAATTATGTTTTGCTTAAGTTACAAGGAGCTCCAAGGAGCTACACATACCCCTTTTCCCATATACATGGCAATGCACAGCCTGAGAGACTACAAACCAGAGTTTTGATAAAGCAATTTATATGAACTGCCATTCTAAATCTGAACTGTGCATGTATTGTGCACATACATAGCATGACATATGTGACACATTGAATGCTTTTTTCGCCCTTGTCTTTCACACTGGTGATGGGCTTAGAGGATACCAGTGCCCAGAGCTGGAGGACCATGGCTGGGAGAACGATAAACTTCCAGCTGATCACGAATTTGTGTGGGATCTGCTGCTCCACTGGATCCCTGTAAGACTATATGGCTTCATGACAGGATTCATTCAAGAATACAAAAAAAAAAAAAAAAAAAAAAAAAAAAAAAAAAAA